TTTGAAAATGCTTAAAAGCAGAAGGACAATAACAGCATAGGTCGAGCATGTCGCAATTGCAAACTGCAAATGATTCACAGCGAGGGTGCATTCGATATAGTTTGCAAGAAAAGCTAGTTTACTGAACTCCTTCTACATTGTTTTGTGTTCAGATAATATAAATTAAGACAGACCAAATAATTAAAAAAAATGTTTTTCTTTTGACTCATGTACATGCAAGATTTGTGGTACCTTGATGTACACTTACCTTTGATTTTCTACGATACTTAGGTTATTGGTGGTTGGGGAGAGGTAAAGGGTTTGGAAAGGGTACAACTTAAGAAAGGCAAATATAATCATCGAAAACGAAATAAAAAGGGGAAAAATTGAACAAAATGCCGCGGGGAATTAATTAAAATGAATCAATTGCAGAAAAGTGAATGCAGATAAACCGAAAATGAAGTCAATGGGATTTTACAAAATATTGTTTTTGAAAAGGAAGTTTAGTGTAACCTAATATTTTTGATCATAAGTATAGTAAAAAAAATATCAAAACTGAGTCCACTAAGGCAATTTAGTTATCTATTAAGGTAATTTGTTTCACTATGAAGTAATTTCTTTTACGTCGCGGAGAAGAAATTGCGTAGTGCTGGAGGGTTGGGTGGCGGAAATTGCCAGCTTTTATACAAAATCCACTTATCCTTGCCATTAAATGGATTATTCATAAGTTTCAGTGGCAATAATTTGCTCTACATACAAAAGTCGTATTGCTGTACACTGCGTTAAATTATGTTGACAAAAAAGTATGAAATTTTTTTAAAATTAAAAAGCATTCTTTCACATACTCACTGCAAAATGATGCTGGGTACTTAATAGAAGAATTAAGACATTATATCCGGTTTTATCTTTCATAATCAGCGTACCCTTCACCACCCATTTATACTGCATTACCAGTATCCCGTAGGTACCCAAATCACCATTTTAGGAGCTCAAACACTGCCGCCCACCATTAGGTACTTCAGTACAACATTTCTGGTAACACAGAATATATATATATATATATATATATATATATATATATATATATATATATATATATATATATATATAGAGAGAGAGAGAGAGAGAGAGAGAGAGAGAGAGAGAGAGAGAGAGAGAGAGAGAGAGAGAGAGAGAGAGAGAGAGAGAGAGAGAGAGAGAGAGCATTTAGCTAGGTGTGCTGTAACTTTTGGCATGTTATAGATCTCTTCGTAAGAGTTTATTTTCGGGTATTGAGTAACTGGAACTAGGCTCAGAAATTTTACTTCTTGGCCAATACCAACGCATGTAATCCCAATCATGTGTTAGGGTAGATTTCTTTTATTTTTGACGGTAATTTTAGACTTGGATATAGGTATTCATTCAATGTAAAGTGTTTCTTTGATAGGATTATGGCGTGACTGTCTGTGTGTACTTTGACTACACTGTGGTGATGCTGTCCTGGAAGTGTAGTCTGCGACCCATTACACGTTGCTGATTTTCTTTTAGTTTTGCCCCACCCCAAATTCCTGATAGCTTATGACATGAAATTTAACCATGAATATTTCTAGAAAGTTTTTTTTTTGACTAACATATCATTTAGTTGGATTCAGACACACTGAAACTTGAGTACTGAAAAGCAGTGCAGAGAATATACAGAGAAAATAATATTTTTTACTGATCTGACAAGGTCAAAAATGCTTCCACCACGTTTGACAAGATGATTTCAAACGATCGGTAGCTGATGAAGAAAGATACACGTCAATCACAGACAGCCGCCAGCCATTTACTTTTATTGCTTGGATTTATATTTGTACTATATTATTTAAGACAAAATTGACAAGATTTAACATTTTATTAATATTCTTTCATTAATACTCTTTACTTATAAATTATAAGGATGATAAGTGGTTTGATAGGCTCAGCAGTGCCCCCGAGTGGCCGAGTGGTCTAAAGCGTGCGCATTTATTGATCATTATCTCACCACTGTCCGCGTGGGTTCGAGTTTCAGGTTCGGCGAATGTGAGTATGTGAAGATGCCAGCAGTTTCCCGCGAATCGGTGGGTCTTACCGGGGTTTTCCAGAGTTCTTCTTCACAAAGTTATAGCGGCCGCCAAATTTTGCCTACCTTGTCCTGAGAAATGGTGTTCAAGTAGCATTATTGCATAACATATTAAAAAAAAACAAACAACAAAATTACAAAAAAAAAACAAACTTGAGGGAATGGTAGTCAGAGCAAAAACAACTTTCTCACTCATAAAATCCTATCAAACATTTGGGAATATAAATATCTTAGTCAAAAGAGTCAAGCGTCGATTTTGAAATTATAAACAGCGCACAGCAATAAGATATTCGAATAACTGGAATTGTTACCGTATAAGCTGATAATTCCATATAAACATTAGCGAGACGAAGACTCACATACCAGAAGTAATGGAAATGTGTTTTGAGAAAAAAAAACAACCTTCTATACAGATGGAATTAGTTACATGACGGAGACGGAGAAAGTGTATAACGACACAACGGAGCTTAATGCTTTCAACCTCTGGAAAATGGCTTGAACAAATTAATTCGAGAAAAAGAAGGACGTCTCAAAGCACTTAACTACCACGCTCGATTAGTAATGATCTAGTTGATTGAATGGTTTCGAATCGATGTTAGCAGCAAATTTAAATCACAGGGATAGTTTTACATAAAACAGTGATGCAGGAATGGATATGTATTCGATATAACAGATAGAAGCTGTCGTTACAGGAAATGAAAGCAGAGAGCAAAGGCGTACTCATCCTATTGATCTTGAGTTGAGTGCATGCTTGCATGATCAGATATTATTTGTAATGCCATTAATAATTTAATTTCAGAAACCTTTACTGTTAAATTCCAATTCAGTTGCTTTACTCAACATTTCAGATGCATTCAGCAGGCATCATACTTCATGAATTTATTTTAGTTTATATTCTTTATTCACTTTTTTCATGGCATCACATCACATAACCGATCTATAAAGTCAGTGTTTAACAGAAGTATTAACGCGAACATTGCTGAGAGTAACTCATTAGAGAATCCACAACCACTTTGTCCGTTTATACTGTAATAATTTGAACTTAGTTTACACTGAGACAAGTTTAGCATGGATAATCAAGAATTATATATATATATATATATATATATATATATATATATATATATATATATATATATATATATATATATATATATATACGTTAGATACAGTGCATCTAATGTAATGAATGGGTTTAGTTTACAAAATACACTTAGATTTGTGTTCTTTTGAAAAGAGGAAAATGTTAGTTTGTATGGATGTTTACATGTAAAACGATGTCGCTGTCCAGTACCATACAAATAATTTCAGTACATTTTAAAATTATTATCTTAAGGAAAGAAAGCAAATTTTCTTGTTTCCAACATTAATTGACTTTCAATACTCGGGATTATAAGAAGTTAGTTATCACCATGAAATAATAAAGAAAGCTTCACACAAAATCTAGAAACTGTAAAAGCTTATAGTCAACTTCAATGTGCACAATTTTCTTTTGCAATTTTTCTTTGCTCATTACATATTGTTATGTACCTGACAAGCATTCCTTATAGAGTAATAACAAATGAATATAAAATGTATAGACTAAATTAACATTATGAAATGATGCAGTATGATATTATTAGTTTAAATGAAAACAAATGTTCCAGTAGGAGTTTTATGTTGAATATAGTTGTAATGAAATTGAAATTATTATTGAACATTAAAATAAAAATCTTGTCAGTAAAGTTGATGTGTCTAGTTATTAGTTATGTCATTAGGTTTAGAGATATATAAACTGTTTTGCATTTGCACGTGAAGAAAAGCTTTTTCATAGAAGGTGTACTTTTTTGTAAACTAAAGATTTTTCTCTAGGTATTGATAGTACTTGAAACATTTCCATTATTATCGTTGACAGTCATAATGTTTCATTAAGTATAAAAGACAGCACGAGTACTATCCCCGTGCAACTTTTAAAATGCTGGGGATTGTGTCTTTATGTGTGTCTGTCTGTCCCTCCATTAGTGATGCAATTTATCTCCTACACTATTAAGGACACAAACTTGATTTTTTTTGGGTAAAACCCCGTGTATTCTTTATATATATATATATATATATATATATATATATATATATATATATATATATATATATATATATATATATATATGTGTGTGTGTGTGTGTGTGTGTGTGTGTGTGTGTGTGTGTGTGTGATTTTAGAATTTTCATAAGAACTCTCGAAATGAGATCCTTTTTTTGGGAACTGGCTCTGTTTGTTAAAATATAAATTAAAAATAAAGTCTTGTATTATTGAATCTGTAGTTGTTTTGTGTCATCTTCAAGGCTATACTTGATTCTTTCAAAGTGTTTCATTAACCCAAATAAAATTAGCTGCAGGTCTTGAAAAATACTCGAGTAGTGTCTTATTCAAAATATTTCCTTGTATACTTTGATGTCAATAACCTGGCGATACATGAGATTTACTTTGTCCGTCGTTGTGTGTGGATTAATATATCTTCGATGTCCAGGCAGTTCCTCTGATACAGTTTCACTTACTAACATTAAACTTTCTCTAAGGGTGTACTTTGTATTAGTGTGTGCTTGAGATGTAGATAAAAAGATAGAGGGCTCATCATTCTGAGAGAGAGAGAGAGAGAGAGAGAGAGAGAGAGAGAGAGAGAGAGAGAGAGAGAGAGAGAGAGAGAGAGAGAGAGAGAGAGAGAGAGAGAGAGAGAGAGAGAGAGAGAGAGAGAGAGATGATAATGCATTCTTTTACTTTTTGAGATGACCCTCACGATCCAATTACACGAGTCATGTATTTGCCTATCCAATGCTCTAAAACTGCTTATAAGAACTGATTAAGTTCCAGGGCAATGTATGACAATGTATTTAAACACTTTCATTCCATGGGAGACAGCAGTTGATACTCTTTTATTATAACATAAATTAATGTGAAAGCATCTGACCGCTCAGATGACCTACAAAAAGTGGTTAGAGCGTCAGCCTCGGATGCAGAAGGTCGCGGATTCGAATCCCGTCCAAATTCATAACGACTTATTAAAATGGTACTAGTAGCTACCTCCCTTGGTACTCAGCATTAAAAGGTTAATGTTGTGACTGGTAGGCCTGGTGTCAAAATAATGTGACTGAGTGGGACATGATGCTACATGTCTGCGGCATGATGCCCCTGTCCTAGACATCACTATAAACTGCCACACTGCAGACATCATAGCGATATGACTGAAAAATTGTCAAAGCTATGTTAAAAATCTAAGTGATACACACTGAACATCCACTCGTGCCGTTTGCGTCTTAGATTACCAGTTTTATTTTTGATTTGACGATAATACGACACGTATTACTGTTGTCGACACGACAAATCCTATTTTTAGATGAGGAAAGTGCTACATATGTAAGTTGGACCGTCCTCAAACGCGATGTTCAACCTCTTTGATTGAAAATGAGGTTAATTTCAACATTTCCCGACATTTGAATCCAAAATAAAATATGAAAGCAACGTAAAATTTTGAAAACTTATACATTAGAGCTCCTTTGTGCACACAAAGCAACAACAACAACAACAGGTTCAGCAGTGTACCTAACACAAGTGGATAATACGAATGTGAAGCCAAGAATGAAATAAGATGGTCTGAAGTCTTTTTCAATTGTTCTGGAACACGTTTGAACTTTGTATACCGAGTATGCTTATTAATCGTCATTGGTGATTATCAAAGAAATAAATTATTTACGAAGTTTATTCTGGCTGGTTGGCTGTCCAAACAAGCACCGTGCATGCGAAGAAGGTCGATGTTTATAAAGATCTCAAGGGGAAAGAGGACGACACATCTATGGCGGATTATGTAGCACTAGAATTTGTATGTATCATTGATCAGACATTATGTGTAACTGCGTAGGAAAGACAGTGCTAATAAACACAAGTATTCTTCAGTATACGGGGAGTTGTGCAAATTCCATTGCAGGAAATATCTAATTTGGTTGTTTTAATTTTATTTTGTTTGGGTAATTTGTTTTTTTTTTAAATAAAAATATTATTTTTTTTTTAACAATACCTTCATCACTGTATTGGATACAATATAACGAGGATGTGAGGACTACGTGTCTTTCCTAAAGACACATTGAGGCAGCCAAGCAGGACTGGTCTTTATAGAAGTGTGTGTGTGTGTGTGTGTGTGTGTGTGTGTGTGTGTGTGTTCATTAAGAAATGTAAAATATACTTACGACAACCCATTTACAAAGAACTTTTCCGTAATGTAATCCCTGCAATTGGAATTTTCAAATGCAAGGTAGAATTTGTACTCTTTACTTAACATCTCAAAACATCTGTCCGAGTCTTGCCTGGAACACCTATGATTACCACATCCACCATATATATCCACCTGAATGTATTTCGCCAGCTCATCGGCAAATTCACGGCGCCCGTTTCTGGCACCACAGTTTGACACAAACCACGCCACCTGCTTCACTTTACCAACAGAATAGCTCTTGTTTTGTGGCAATGTCTTTACGCGTTCGTTATAGCGTACAAATTTCTCATAAGGCGCAACTATGTCAGAATCATGTCTATAGCTTGCGGTCCAGTTAAAAAGATTTTCTAAGCCATTTAGTGCCGGGGTATGATTTGGAGATTCTAGTAAAAAAAGGATCCAGATCTGACTTTTCGGTCTTTGGAACCAAGGGCGTGTTGGGGAATGTTGAAACAAAATGGCATCAGCTTGAGCTGCCCTGTTACGATCTGCTATCAAACTACACGTGTTAACTCTACAGTTTTGTTCTTTAAAAGTTTCCTGACCTGGTTTGACCTGCCAATTTCCAAAACCACTGTAAAGAAGAATTTGCTTCAAAGACAAGTTTTCTTTTTTTGTCTCCTTTTCTTCGAGCCATTTGGGTTTGTATTCCAGTTGCGCTACTATCCTGTCGTCGTCAAACTGTTCCTTGTCTGGCCATACAACTAATCTCTTCGTCTTTGCTGCTGGAGGTTGCATGGGATTTAATGTGACGGAGAAATTTCTCAAAAGAGGCACATTTAATCCATGGAGAGTCGTGTGTAGGCCAATCCGCTCATACGGCATCACTGATTTGTGCATCTTTTTATGTTCCGTATTATCTGTATTGAAATCACGGCCCCATGGATGGGTGTTCGAGTCGTAAATCCATAAACTTCGATTGTAGAAATTAAAGGCGAGTAAGAAAAAAACACACAGGGTGATGAACCATGTAACCGCTTTCCTCAAGGTTACCCGCATGGTAGGGGTCCTCCTTAAACAATCAAACGACCGTTGATATTATCGTCGTCTACTTCAAATTATGCATTTACTTTTTCAATTGCACATTCTGCACATATGACCTGAAAAATAGGAGAAATGTAATAAAGTCCCAAGAAATATTTTAACATGTGCTTGGATAAATGTTATCCCTTTCGAAATTGGCATTTGTTACAAAAAAAAATCGCATTAAGAAACTGAACCGTTGAGAATACTTAACACAGATTTGTTTACAGTGAGGTAAACTAACTAACTAGTTGAAATAGCATTTCAATTCACGAGTGTGTCATTTTATGTACAAATCCCAGGGCTGTATACTATACCATTTCCGGATAAAATCCGCATGAAGATCAGTTATATAACAATCGCTAAGAGGAAAGCGTTACATCCCGAATGGCCATGTCAGCAATGATCCATTATGATGAGAGTTTCTTGGCTCGGACACTTAATTCTCAAGCTTTTCTGTATAATGGACTCTAGGTGTTTGAACAAATGTGAACTTTTCTTTCCGAAACATCAGAGAGAAATATTTTATGACATTTAAAAAAATAATTTTGTCTTGATCTATCACCAATACCGTGGAGGCATGTTAACATCTGTCGGCGTAGAGCTTGCAAATGGACCCTTATACAACTGTATATCATTTGCTAGCTGACGGCGCTTAAGTTCTGTGGTATTCATTAATATGGTCTGAATTTATATCTTACCTAAGGCCGGCGACACCTATGGACCACATTTTGATGTGACAAAAAGACATATTGTCAAAGAACAGATGGGTGATTGCAAATGACTTACTTGGTATAGTGTTGCTAGTTTTTTTTTTCTTTGGGTTTTAACGGCAATATTTAAGACACTAACTAACTAACTAACTTACTGATAGATAGGTAGGTAGGTAGGTAGGTAGGTAGGTAGGTAGGTAGGTAGGTAGGTAGATAGATAGATAGATAGATAGATAGATAGATAGATAGATAGATAGATAGATAGATAGATAGATAGGAATGTAGACAGACAGACGAGAGAGAGAGAGAGAGAGAGAGAGAGAGAGAGAGAGAGAGAGAGAGAGAGAGAGAGAGAGAGAGAGAGAGAGAGAGAGAGAGAGAGAGAGAGGTAAATTATTTGATTACAAATTATATGAAGACCAGACTGCAATCGATATCGATCAGGACGCAATGCTCGAGACTGTCTAATCCATGTAAGGTATTATCCAACCGTACAAAAATAATGCATACATTACTTTTATCATCTTTAGCCAAACAATATCTGATAATTCCGTAAACAATATTTTGATCGAAGATATCGGAACAATACTGCCGTGCGACCCTTGATCGCGAGTAAAGCAGTTGTCTTTGTTAAATATTTCAGCTCTTTACTATTGACCTTATAAGTATTGTAAAATGGGACATATTGATAAATTAATAATAGTTTAGTTCAAAATTATGGTCCGTAGTATGAACTCAACATAATGGCAAAATAATTAAACTAGTTGGCACTGCAATAAAACTCAATGCCAAGAAGCTAGAAATCGGTGTGTTAAGAGACGATGCTAATTTCCAGGTATGTATTGGAAAACTGCAAACGAAAGGGCTTCTGATATTTTAAAAGTCTCATACCATAAACAATACCATGTACCGTACTGACTGTGCTTTTGAATAAAACATATTAAATAAAACATATTATAAATAAGGCAAAATATATTTTTAGTGCTTCAAAAACTCTTAAGTATATATACCGCTTTTGTGCACTCTGATTTATTAGATATTTTCAATATGCGGAAGGCGGGATTTTCTAAGTTCTATCACCCCTCTGAAGTTACCCGAGGAAATTTCCTAGGCAAACTTCTATTCCGCTTAGACAAAAAATACTACTGGTGATTTTGATATATGTTTGATTTCCTTTTGTTTCTAAAACGAAATTTTGCTTCATAATTAAAAGACTAGAAGAACTACGATGCTACACCATTTGCATGACCCCCGGGGTTTTTGTTTACTGACCTTTTATCAGATTAAGAGCATCATTAATTAGGTTAATTAAAGAATATAATTTTTTAGTTCTCGTTTCAGTTAGATTATATTTGTATATAAAATGAGCAAATCTACCAGGTGCGTCAGCTAATGGTTTTTTAATAAAATTGTAACATAATACAGTTTCGATTTCCGTTAATGATCAAGTAATAGGAACGCTGTAATATCTAATAATTAAATCCCCACACCCACCCTCACCTCCAAAAAGAAAAGAACCAAACAAAAAAGTTCATGATGCAAATTGGCAAGCAAAAATACGGCACACAGACGTATAAGCCAGCTAAATACATGCATAACACGTTTGTTTACATTTTATTTTCCAACTTTTATTCATGACCTAGAAAACACTTCAAGCAGCTGGGGTAGGGGTGGTGTGTGAACCAAATACACTAAGAGGTCGAAGTAAAGCGCATAGGGATGTAGTCACCATACAACAAAAATACGCAAATCATAGGGGCCCGCGAATATAGGGGCCCATAATCCAGTCCAAACAATTTTTTTTTACACAATAGAAAAACTAGGAACAGGCAATATATTACTCACCAAATGCTGTAATTGATAATATATATTTACGAGTATAAAATGTAGCTTCGACGTTCGATATTAATATAAACTGAGGCACGGCCTATCAACAAGCCTTGCATAGGGGCCCAAATACGTCAATGAAAGCCCTGAGAAGACTTTACCATCTGGAAGCTCCCTGAGACACACAATATACTCTGTACGTGACCCGCGGTA